TCTAAATGGTAGAATCCTACCAACCAGTGTGTTTGCTCCATGTATCTATATTCTACACAGGTAGAACAAAGACAAAATAGTAATAAATTATTACAGATAATTTACTGGTAAAAGATGTGGGTGATAGCACACTTACAATGATTATTGGAGATGAAATTAAATTTTCATCTCCCATCTAGAATTTGAGTAATGAGAAAGCCCTTTATGGCCCTTCTATTGGTTTCCCTTCCTAAATTTTCATTAAAGAGCACCAACAAGAAAGAAAAAAAAATTATTAAAGGAAATTATTAATTTTCAGGGTCATTATACCAACAGCTATTTTTCCCTGTTATGTCTCAATGAAATATGTGAACAAGTCTAGAAACGAGAAAGAACAAAAGCTAAGGGGGAAAAAATGTGAGTTGCAAAAATTGCATCAGGACACCAAAGAGAGAGGTGACAGCTTCTCTCAAGCTAATGCCAAATTGTATTGAGTGAAGTTGAAGGGCTGCATAATGATATGCAGAAGGTCAGGTGCAAAATTAGAATTGTGTTTCCAAGAGCAGGGTGATAGGATTGGAATATCTATTAGATACTCCTCACCTTAGAGCTCAGGAATGCCAGCCATGTGACAAACACATTGTGTAAGACTTCAAAAGAAAATGGGTTCAAAATACTTCGGAGGGGGGAAACTGTTTTAAAACAAGTCTCACAAAATAAAAGGAAAAAAAATTGAATGTTATTTTAAGTCACAGGCTGCCTATAAAGCCATAAATTTTCATTCTTTGTTAAAGACCATGATACAAGTCAGTGTTTCTCAAAGTATAAATTTGAACTGCTGGTACTAGAATAATTGTTAAAGATACAGAGTCCTAGGACATGTCCCAATTCTTCCAAGTCAGAATCTCTAGAAATGAATTCCAGGAATCTTTGTTTTTACCAATATCCCAAAATGATGCCTATGCAAACCTAAAAAATGTGATTTAAGGGATGACAAGGAAACTAGAAGCTCATATACTGGAAGACAAAGGAAAAAGATTTCATTATCTGTTTAATAGGTAGATGCCCAAATTTTCAACCATCACCACAGGATGAAAAATAATAATTACCCAATATCTGTAATTATCATGAATAACTTTGTATCTTCAATAAAATCAAGGTACATATCATTACTAGGAGCTGAGATTGCTAATTTAATGTGTTAACTTCATATGGTCAAGGAAGCCTAGATATTTGGTCAAACATTATTTATGGATGTGTCTGAGAGGATGCTTCTGGATGAGATTAACAATTAAATAGGTAGACTGGGTAAAGCAGATTGCCCTCCCCAATGTAAGTGAGCCTCGTCTAATCTGCTGAAGGCCTAAATAGAATAAAAGCCTGAGTAAAAAAGAATTCCTTTTCTTTGACTTATTGTCCTCAATTTGTCTTCTCTTGCCTGGAATGATCTGGCAATAGAGATACACAAAATATTTCCCAATGGATGTTCCCAATCAACCACATAAAAAGGCAAGGAGTTGGGTTAACTATGGGATACTTTCTAAAATTTTTGAAATCTAGTGAATATAATGTGATTAACTGGTTGCTTCTAAATGTCACTGGACAAAATGTTGAAAGAAAAGGATGCACTCAGGGATTTGAATTCCCAGTTCAAGTGCCACATAAATGAACTGAATGCTTCATTATGTGCCCTTAAGACCCTTACCTCCTGTAGCTGCAGGGTTGACTCCTGAAAATCAAATATGGAATCTCATCCCGTGACTGGCTGAATTACAACACAAGTTGTATTTCACAAATCCAACTCTTTGACCCCATGGACTGCAGCAAGCCAGTCTTCCCTGTCTATCACCAACTGCCAGAGCTTGCTCAAACTCATGTCCATCATATACAGGATGCCATCTAACCATCTCATCCTCTGTCATCCCCTTCTCCTCCTGCCTTCAATCTTTCCCAGCATCAGGGTCTTTTCTAATGAGTCAACTCTTCGCATCAGGTGGCCACAGTATTGGAGCTTCAGCATCAGTCCTTCCAATGAATATTCAGGATTGATTTCCTTTAGGACTGGTTTGGTCTCCTTGCAGTCCAAGGGACTCTCAAGAGTCTTCTCCAACACCACAGTTCAAAAGCATCAATTCTTCGGTGCTCAGGTTTCTTTATACTCCAAATCTCACATCCATAAGTGACTATTGGAAAAACCATAGCTTTGACTATATGGACCTCTGTTGGCAAATTAATGTCTCTGCTTTTTAATATGCTGTCTAAGTTGGTCATAACTTTTCCTTCAAGGAGAAAGCACCTTTTAATTTATGGCTGCAGTCACCATCTGTAATCATCTTGATTTTGGAGCCCAAAGAAATAAAGTCTGTCACTGTTTCCATTGTTTCCCCATCTATTTGCCAAGAAGTGATGGGACTGGATGCCATGATCTTCATTTTTTTGAATGTTGAGTTTTCAGCCAGCTTTTTCAATCTCCTCTTTCACTTTCATCAAGAGATTCTTTAGTTCTTCTTCACTTTCTGCCATATGAGTGGTGTCATCTGCATATCTGAGGTTATTGATATTTCTCCTGGCAATCTTGATTCCAGCTTTCATGGGCATTGATTGGGAAAAAATGAAGTACTATAAGTTGAAATGGGAACAGTGAGCCCCAAAATTTTGATGTGTTTTCTTTGGAAGACATACCTTTATTTAATGTAAAAGAAAAGACTTAAAGTCTTAGAGAGATTGGAACATTAGAGTTCATTTATCATTTAATATTTTGTCACCTCCACTGGGAGGTGCCAGAAAGCATGCCTTTCATCAATACTGTGAGAAGGAAATCTGTGAATGGAGCCCAGGCATGTTTGAAGGGTTCTATGATAGCTCTTTTCTGTAGGTCAGATTTTGCAATGGAAAATGTGGTCACCAAATTGGAGAATCTAAATGCAGTGAGTGTAACAAGATTTTTTGGTGGCAGGGGCAAAGTGGCACCACTCAACTGGCAGAGGGAAGGTGGATGTGATCACCATAGTGTAGGGCAGAGTCAAAGAGTCAAAGCAGCAATCAAAATAGTCTAATTCATGTAGATCTAATTGATTATGGTGTTACTAGAAGTGAAGTAGTATAGATAGGAAAGCTACTAAATTCTTATTTTAACTGTGTAAGCAGAAAATTTCTAGGTCAATTGAACAAAAGTCTAAGTTGTAAGAGAAAAACAGAGAACCAGGGTCCTTCAAACAGTTACCAAACCTGAGCCAGTTTGTAGACCTAGAACCCCTTAAATGGAGAGGAGACTAGGTCCCTTGAGGAAGGACCCATGAACACTATCAAAAGTTTATACTGGTAATCTTTCTTCGAGCCCTCCCCAAAGTGACCTATGGTCTTTTCACCAGGGTAACTATAGATTGGAAAGGAGAAAATAATCAGACTTTTCAGGGACTACTGGATACTTGTTCTGCATCGACAGTGATCCTAAGAGACCAAATGCCACTGCAGCCCTCTGGCCAGAGTAACCTTCAGGGCTTATTGGAGGTCAGGTAATCACAGGAGTGTTGACTCAGGTGTGTCTCACAGTGGGCTCCAAACACATCCTATTTCCTCAGTTCTGGAATGCATAATTGAAATAGATATACTCAGCAGCTGGCAGAATACTCATACTGGTTCCCTAATCTGTGAAATGAGGGCCAAGTAGAATGCACTAGACCTGTTTCTACTAAGGAAGGCAGCAAACCAGAAACAATAATCCAGCATTCCCAGAGGCATTTCCAATGTTAATTCCATCATCAAGGACTTGAAAGATGCAAGGGTGATGATTCTCACCACATCCCCATTAAACTCATCTATTTGATCTGGGCAGAAGATAGATGGATCTTAGAGAATAACAGTGGCTTATTGTAAGTTGCTAGGTAGTAACTCCAATTACTTCTGATCTACCAGATGTGGTTTCATTGCTTCAGTAAATAACAAATCCCCTAATACTTGGTAGCAGTTATTGATCTGGTAAAAGCTGTTTTCTCCAGAAAATCCACTTGTCCATAAAACCCACCAGAAGCTGTTTGCTCTCAGCTGGTAAGGAAAGGAATGCATCTTCACTGTCCTACCTTGAGGGTACATCAACTCTCTAGCTTTATGTCATAATTTAGTTCACATGGATCTTGATCTCTTTTCCTTTCCATAAGATATCACACAGGTTCATTACATTAATGACATTATACTGACTGAACCTAGTGAACAAGAAATAGCTACTATTCCAGACTTATTGACAAGATATTTAAGTGCATGTCAGGGGGTGGGAAATAAATCCAATGAAAAATCAGAAGCCTTCTACCTAATAAAATTTCTAGGCATCCAGTGGTGCAGACATGTCAAGATACCCATTCTAAAGTGAAGGACAAGTTGTTTATCTCACCTCTCCTCATACCAAGAAAGACAGGCAATGTCCAGGGGAGTTCTTTGGATGTGGGAGGCAATATTTTCCTCATTTAGGTATGTTATTCCAGCCTCTTTACTGAGTGACCCAAAAAGCTGCTAGTTTCAAGTGGGCCCAGAACAGAAGAAGGCTCAGCAAGAGGTTCAGGCTGCTGTGCAAACTGCCTTGTCACTTGAGTCATATGAGCTGGCAGATCCAAAGTGGACTAAAGATGTTAACGGTAGATAGGGATGCAGTGTGTATCCTTTGACAGATCCCTACAGGTGAATTACACACAGCACAGGCCTTTGGGATTTGGGGACAAAATCCTACCATTCTCCATAAGTAACAGAAGCAGCCCTTTGAGAAGCAGTTCTAACCCTGCTACTGGGTCTTGAACACTTAACCATGAGCCACCAGATACCAAGTGGTCATAGTTACACATTATGAACTGGGTGTTATCTGACCTATAAAGTTGGGTGTCCACCACATGGCAATGTTCTACCATGTGAATGGGCCTGAAGGCACAACTAACTTACGTGAACAATGACCAAAGTGCACATGGTCCCCACTCCTGTTATATGACCATTTCTTTCCCAGCCTGTACCTGTGTCCTTTTTTTTTGTTGTTGTTGTTGTTGTCTACTTGAGTTTATTCTGTTCTTTTTAAAAAAAGGAAAAAAAAAAAAAAAGAGGTGAGGGATGGAAGGGGAGATAACCCATAAACACTGTGAGGAGGAACCAAGACTCCAAGACCTGGGCGTGCTCCCCAGTCCTCAACCTCAGCTCTCCAAGAGACTCCCACCCACCCAATCTTCTTTTAAACAAGACACCCAAATCAGCAGCAAAGGTACCTGGGATAGTCACTGAGATCGTGAACACTGGGGATAGGGGAGAGAGAGAGAGAAGTCCAAAAAAACAGGAGTTAGGGACAAAAGGGAAGGAATGAGGGAGAGGCTAGGCTCTGGAGGATGGAGTCGGGCCATGAGAAGTGGAAGTGAGCCAGCCCGGGGACACCCCTGCCGACTGCTGCTGCCCACGTTCCCCAGGACCCCAGAGAGCCCCATGGTTTATTGTGCAGTCCACCCCTAATCCCCGAGGGCCTCACAGGCCCAGCTCCAAGTCCTCCAGCGCCTCCTCCAAGGCCCTCCTCCTCGCTAGCTTCTCCAGCTGCTCTCTGCTGGGCTGGCTGACCTCTCCAGCCCGGACCCGCTGCTGCAGCTCCTCCACCTGCCGAAGCTTCTTCTTCAGGCTCTTTATCTTCCTGGCCTTCTCAGTGGTGGCGGCTGAGTTGGGCTGGTCTGAGGCGGCCGCGGGCGCTGCCCGGGCCTGTGGGGCACTGGGGACCTGGGCTGTCTCTCCCAGGGACACCTTCTCAAGAGTCCGGCTCAAGGCCTCCGCCTCCCCTTTCTCTTGCTGCTGCCGCCTCTTCTCCTTCTGCTTCAGGTTGTGTTTGGCTGTCTTGGAGAGGGCTGGCTCACCGCCTTCAGGCCTGGATGCGGTGACGGGGGCAGTGGCCTCTGGGCTCAGGCCGGGGGGCAATTCTGGTTTGCTCTTGAAAAACTTCACATACTTGTTTTCATACACTGGGACCTCCTCCTGGGGCACATAGCCTTCTTTCACCCTCCGCTGCTTTCGCCAGGTCCTGTCAGGTCGCTGTGTTGAAGCGATGTACTTGCCGCCAGTCTCGTCAGTTACATAGGGAGTCGCCATCTTGAAAACCGTACCTGTGTCTTAATGGGAAATTCCCTACCATAAGGTGACAGAGGAGGAGAAGATTCTTGCCTGGCTTACAGATGATTCTGCACAATATATGGGTGCCACCTGAGAGTGGACAACTACAGCTCCTTTCTGGAACATCCCTGAGGACAGTGATAAACCGTAATCCTTCCAGTGGGCAGAACTTCAAGCAGACCTCCTGGTTTCTCATTGTCAGTCTATTTGGGTTGTTGTAACAAAACACAATAGACTGGATGGCTTATAAACTGCAGAAACTTACTGCTTACTGTTCTGGAGACTGTAAGTACAAGATCAGGGTGCTAGCATGTCAGGTTCTGCCAAAGAGCTTCATCTGGTTTGCAAACTTCTATGTTCTCACATGGCAGAAAGGAGTTGGAAACTTTCTTAGACCACTTTTGACATTGTACCATTTCTACCGTGAAAGGGGAAACACTTTGTTTTCACTGGAATAGACACTTACTCTGTATATGAATTTGGCTTCCCTGCATGCAATGATTCTGCCAAAACTACTCTCTGCGGTTTCCAGAATGACTAATCCATCATTATGGTATTCCACACTTCATTGCTTCTGATCAAATAACTCACTTCACGGCAAGTGAAGAGCAGCAATGAAATTCAGGGATTTTTCCATGTTTCCCACCATCCTGAAGCAGCTGGCTTGATAGAATGGTAAAACGGCCTTTGAAGACTCAGATAAAGTGCCAGCTAGGTATCTTAAGGGCTGGGGCAAGGTGCTCCAGAAGGCTTTATCTGTTCTGAATCTCAGTTCAGTAGCTGGTGTTGTTTCTCCCATAGGTAGGATTCATGGATTCAGGAATCAAGGAACATAAATGGAAGCAGTATCAATTGGCATTACCTCTAGTGATCCACTAGTAAAATTTGTTTCCTGTTCTATGACCTTTTGCTCTGCCAGTCTTAGTTCTAAAGGAAACACAACAATGATTCCACTAAAGTAGAAATTAAGATTGCTACCTGGCCACTTTGCACTCCTCACTCCTATGATCAATAAGCAAAGAAGGGAGTTACCATGATGGCTGAGTTAATTGATCCTGACTAGCAAGAGAAAATTGGATTCCTACTCCACAATGGAAAGCTGGAATATAGGAGATCCTTTTGGGTATCTCTTAACATTGCCAGACTCTGTGATTAAGTTCATGGGAGATTATAACTGAACTCAGGTAGGGGTATTAATGGCCCATACCTTTCAGCAATGAAGACTTGGATCATTCTACCAGGCAAGAACTGTAACTAACTGATTTCTTGCTGAAGGTAAAGGGAGTGAGTAGTAGAAAAAGGTAGTCATAAAATATCAGCTGTCACCATGTGACCAGTTATAACCATGAAGACTGTGTCATGGGTATTCCTCCTTATTCTGTTATGAATATATTTGTGCATGTATAAATAGAATATATAAATATGTGTATATTTTAGACAAACATTTTTATTTTTTTCTCTTATTCTCTTATGTAATATAAATTAAATACAATACAGTCAATTGTTTCCATATATTGTTATAAACATGTAAAGTCATTAAGTTGTATTTATGCCATGCTATTTAAATATTGTTAATTTTACATGATAGTTGGTAAGTTAGAGAATATCAGTGAGAAGATTAACCATTCAAGGACTTTGCTTCCTCTTCTAGGCAAGAGGTTAATGCATTTTCAGTTGTACACAGAAAAGGTATTTCATGTTAGATGAATTTTGACCTTATTGTCTTTTTGGAGATCTATGATTTGAGGAGATGTGTATGGGTACCATAATGACAAGGGGTGAACTTGTGATGGTTGATTTTATGGGTCATTTTGACTGGGCCATGGGGTGCTCAGACACTTAGCAAAACTTTATTCTGGATGTGTCTGTGAAGGAAGTTCTGGATGAGATTAACCTTTGAATCAGCAAACTGAGTAAAGTAGATTGCCCTCCATAGTGTGGGTGGGCTTTACCCAATCTGTTGAGCCCTAAGTATAATAAAGCTGGACAAGAAAGAATTTTTTTCTCTTTGCCTGTCTTTGAGCAGGGCCATGGATTTTCTACACTTAGACTTGGACTGAAACTTACACCATCAGCTCTTCCAGTTCTTTGACCATCGAAATCTGTACAAGACAAGAACTATACTATCAGCTCTCCTGGGTCTCCAGCTTCCTAACTTCAGATCTTGAACTCTGTGATAACTAAAATCTCTTAAGACAATTCCTTATGGTATATATGTTCTATTGGTTATGTTTTCTGGGAAACTCAGACTAATCTAATACAGGTAGTACGATCTTCAATGCTCTGGAGTAAACCAAGTATATGTTTAAGAATCTGTTGTAGGCTCAACCTGAGCTTGTCTTTCTTTCAGGCAATCAACACTTCTGTCAACCATAAATTGGCACTTGCAAAGAGCATGTGCCAGTGACTGGAAAAGAACAACGGCATTTGGCATCTGCCTGTGCTCTCCAGCTGCTGACCTTCAACAGTCTCTAAAGGGAATTTAGCATGGAGAGTGAAGCACTCTAGGCTCAAGGGAACCTGGTGGAACAGGAACTATCTTTAGATAGTTATTTCCAAGAACTGATTTTCAGTGACTGGAAAAGAACAAGGGCATTTGGCATCTGCCTGTGCAGATCAACAGTCTCTGAAGGGAATTTAGCATGGAGAGTGAAGCACTCTAGGCTCAAGGGAACCTGGTGGAACAGGAACTATCTTTAGATAGTTATTTCCAAGAACTGATTTCATGATCCAAATCCTTGCGTCTCCTCATATCTAGAAAAGTACTAAATCCCTTCGTGGTAATATCAGTTCCTAATGACTAGCAGAAAACCTTTTGTAAAATAAGCCCTTGATTGCATTGACCTCTTCCTTCACCAAAATCTTATATATTGACCTCCCCCAACTACCTCTTTGGAGTAGTCTCTCAGAGCTAGCTGAGGTACTGTCTCTTGGACTGCAGTCCTCATTTTGCCCCCAAATAAAACTTAACTTTCAGTGCTCACATTGTGCATCTTTTTAGCTGACACTAATGCAATTAAGAAAGTCTCATTACTGACTGAATTGATTTGATTCCATGGCTGTACTGATTTGAAAACACATTAACATGCTGACATTAAGATTTGCATGGTAGATTGGGTTAAGTTAGAAATTTTCAAAGACTGACATCGAGGGTGGTGGTGCTATATTTAGTTAGGAAGTACAGGCCAGGTAGCCCACTTCTACTGTAACTAAAACAGCTCTAGATTAATTTGTTTAATACACTGGGAAAGTTTCACTTAATAACGAGTTCATTGACTAAAATGTGAAAAACCACTGGATTATGAGATCCTAAATTTATCTTTTAATTCTAAAATCCAATGATTTACTTGAAGGTGGTGATTTATCGTTAGCCAAATATGAAGTGTTTTATGGCAGTGAAAAGTACAACGTGAAGGTTCAGTAAACGCCACTTTCACTCCAAATGAGGTGAAGGATCCATTGTATTCTGGATTAATCAGACCATTCTGAGCTACAGTAAACTAATTCTGGTTACCAAATTTTAAGGAGATAAATAATAGAAAACATAATCTAGAGGAAAGTAGTGAGGAGACTGAAAAGACTAGAACCACAAGGCCCTGGAGCAAGTTGTCATTTTGAAACACAGAACTGCAAGAGACATCTTAGTGCCCTACATATTTTAATGGCTATCACTTATTCAAGTGGAAGGCTTAAGTAGGATTTAAATTAAAAAACACTTAAATTTGAAAAGCGTTAAAAACTCAGTTCTCAGTCACACTAGCTTCAAGTGTTCAACAGCCTTATTTGACTAGTGACTATCGTATTAGATAGTACACACAGAGAACATTTCCATCATTGTAGAAAGTTCTATGGACAATACTATCCTTAAGGGCAGAACTAGGACCAGTAAAGAGTTAGGACTTAGGATCAATCAACAGAAGTCCTTTTTATGGTTAGAGTTATCCTTCAATAGAAAGGGCTAGACTCAGCAACAAGGGAAATTGATCAATCTAAGCCACAATACATACAAAATTCTAGCATTCAGAAAGACACTAAACAGAAGACTTCCAAGATGATAATCAAATTTGCAGCTTTAATTACATGGAATTGCTTTATTGCAGACATTTCTATCTGATCAAATGCGGATATTACCCACTTTCAAGCTGCTATTTTTAACATATTTCCTAGGGCAAATTAAGCTTGAGAGCTTTAGTTCTTTTTATCATATCTACTGCTAAAGTCATGGGTTACTTGTTCAGCTTTGAAAATGCATTTCCCTGCTCTTGTTAAAGTGTAGAGATGGAATATAGAAATCAACTCCCTCCAGTTACCTCTATGAAACAGATACAACAGAGATAGGACACTGTGCATTTGCAGGCAAACTTCAGTGAAAATGTAAAGTGTTAACACAGGGCAAAAGAGAAAGAACAAGATATGACTTAGGGTTCAAAGTTTATCTTACCAAATTGTCAGGGTCTACTTGATTGAAGATGACCAATATGGAAAATAATGTTTATGGGAACCAGCATCCTTGCATAGTCAAATGAGCAAAATAGAAATATAGACATCCAATAAGACAGTCCTTCATCTTCTTATAAACACAAGCAATAGCAAAGGGATGTCAAGAACTTGAGTAAAAATTTTTTCCTTCAGCTATTTTGTTAGTACCACAGAGAGATTTATAAGAGGATGAATGGGGAAAAATGGCAAAGGTACATCCAATTAAATGTGAGTTCCAAAAAATAGCTAGAAGGGACAAGAAGGCCTTCTTCAATGAAAAATGCTTACTAAGAGAAGAAAACGACAAAAGGGGAAAGACTAGAGATTTCTTCAGAATTGGAAATATCAAGGGAGCTTTCCACCCAAAGATGGGCATGATAAAGCATTAAAAAATGCTAGAGACCTAGTAGACACTGAAGAGATCAAGGTGAGATGGAAAGAATACACAGAAGAACTGTATAAAAAAGATCTTAATGAAACAGATTACTACAATGGTGTGGTTAGTCACCCAGAGCCAGACATTCTGGAGTGCAAAGTCAAGTGGACCTTAAGAAGCACTGCTGTTAATAAAGCTAGTGGATGCAATGAAATTCCAGAACTATTCAAATCTCTAAAGGAGGATGCCATCAAGGTTTTGCATTCATTATGTCAGCAAATCTGGAAGACCCAGCAGTAGCCACAGGACTGAAAAAGATCAAATCTCATCCCAATTCCCAAGAAGGATAGTAGCAAAGGATGTGCTAGCCATTGGACAATTGTACTCATCTCCCATGCTAGAAACACCATCCTTAAAATCTTACATGCTAGGCTTCAGCATTATGCAAATCAAGAACTTCCAGATGTCCAAGTAGGGTTTAGAAAAGGAAGAGGAACTAGAGATCAAACATTCACGGGATTATAGAGAAAGAAAGGGAATTTCAGAAAATCATCTATCTCTGTTTCATTGACTACGCTAAAGCCTTTGACTGTGTGGATCATGAAAAACTGTGAAAAGCTCTTAGAGAGATGGGACTACCAGACCATCTTAACTGTCTCCTAAGAAACCTATATGCAGGTCAAGAAGCAACAGTTATAACCCTGTAAGGAAAAACTGATTGGTTTGAGAAAGGAGTATGACAAGTCTATCTGCTGTCACCCTGTTTGTTTAACCTATACCCTGAGCACATCATAAGAAATGCCAGGCTGGATGAGTTACAAGCTGGAATCAAAAGGCAGGAGAAACATCAACAACCTCAGATACACAGATCATACCACTCTAATGGCAGAAAGTGAAGAGGGACTAAAGAGCCTCTTGATGACGATGAAGGAGGAGAGTGAAAGAGCTGGCTTAAGACTAAATATTAAAAAAAAAAAAAAAAAAAGTAAGATCATGGCGTCTGGTCCCATTACTGCATGCCAAATAGAAAGGGAAAAGGAGGAAGTAGTGACAGATTTTCTCTTCTTGGACTCCAAAATCACTGCAGATGGTGACTGCAGCCATGAAATCTGATGACTGCTTCTTGACAGGAAAGCAGTGACAAGCCTAGACAATGTGTTGAAAAGCAGAGACATTACTCTGCTGACAAAATGCCATATGGTCAAACCTATGGTCTTCCCAGTGGTCACATACGGTTGTGAGAGCTGGACTGTAAAGAAGGCAGAACACCAAAGAATTTATGCCCTCTAACTGTGGTGCTGGAGAATACTCCTCAGAATCCCTTGGACAGCAAGGAGATCAAACCAGTGAATCTTAAGGGGGATCAACCCTGAATATTCACTGGAAGGACTGATGCTGAAGCTGCAGCTCCAATGTTTTGATCATCAGATGGGAACACACAACTTATTGGAAAAGTCCCTGATGCCAGGAAAGATTGAGGGCAGAAGCAAGAGGGTATCAGAAGATGAGATGGCAGTATGGCATCACCAATGCA